TCTTTCTCCCTAAACATGAAGTAAAGTGCTGCCGTCATCGCTGTTAGTACTACCAATCAGCGACGTCTCGAGAGGGTTACGGAGGCCCGGGGATAATCATAACCGACGCCTTCAAATTCACGCCGAAGTGTTGCATCGTCTGACACCGGGACGTCGAAGCACAGGGGGGGGGGGGGGGGCAAAGCACGGGGCCTGGGGTGGTCGCCCCGATTCGCCGTGCCCTAGGGAGCGCCTCTGCTACAGGCTGGATAAATCGGGACTTGTATAATTAAGGAATGTATTATTTAAAAGGTAATTACTTGCTTACCTTTTTGCTCTTATTTTCCACTCCTATCCTGTGCTTGTATTGTTCTCTATCGTAACTCGATGACCTGCCCACAATGGACATTTTTTTTTAAAGAGCTTCATAGCTAATGGGATTCCTCCTGCAGTCGAAATAAAGATTCTGATGCTGACTCTTCTTCACCATCAGTCTCCCTCAACTCCTTCTGCCTTGCACTCCGTGACATCTCTTAAAGCCATTGTAATGACATCATTATTTTGTCTCTTAACACCAAAATCATTGAAGTCTAACCACCCCTTACTTAGCCTCCATATAGCAATGGACTCACTATGGCTGATGATGATTAAATGTTTGACCTGGGGGTTTGTCTACTCCCACAGAGGATAGATTGCCCCCTTCCATGGGCAGTCTGTCTTGCAGATGGTTTGTGGACAGATCCACCCAATGGTAGGGTGGCCTTAAGTCAAAGAAATGGGCATGCAGTTGCTGTTTAGCCATAACATTGTCCAGCTCACTTTTGTGCTGAGATCTGCCATGAGCCCATGATGCTGCATGGATGTTCTAGTGACTCGACAGCCTGTTGATAATTACGAGCCCATAGGCTGCACACACAAAACACAGCCATCAGCCTCCTCCTACCGTTATCACTGAGCTGATACGAGCCTTCCAACCGCTCAATTGCGAGGAAAGTGCACTACGCCTACAAAAACCAATGACTCGCACAGAACTCCTTGGGCCCCCCTTCATTCCTAGATGTAAGAGCCACTCGGTATTGTAAGGATTATTGGGAAAAAAAGTTATATTTGGTGATACCGCGTTGGACACGAGCACAAATAACAATAAACGCAGACGGCTTTTCTTAGAGCCTCGGGTGTGGACCAATCAAATTCAAGGACAGTGAATATTATTATCAGAGTTGTCTCTTTTGTTTGCATTTTGACTGCTTGTGTTGTGGTTATTGCAAACATGATGCCTTGAATAAAGGTGTCAGTTTTTGTGCCAGTTAAAAGGGTAAAACCTATTACTATATCTTGTTACTGGCAAAGGAGGTCTCATAATATATTTGTCTTGTTAAGGCAGTGTTATTGATGACACGTGTTGAGTTTTTGTTATTACTCTCGTCTGAGATTATCCAGCCACCTAGCGTGGCACGTGCGGTCTTCCCCGGCCACACAGCACTTGCCCCTACAATCTATAGAGCGCAATGGTGGGGGGAAGGGCGGGGATGGTTGGCTCTTTTATTGTGCGAGTTGCTGTGCGTTTGTAAGTGCACGCGTGGCTGTGTTACATAAGGGTGGAGTGGTAACGTAGCTCTTGGCACACCTCGCTATCGGGGGTTTTATTTCTCGGCAGCGGTTGACATCAGTGGGGCATAGCTGACGCAGTCTTTGGCCTCCGCCTAAATGAAACAAATTATTTCGCGCGTACTGCTGTGTTGACAACGGTGCACAAGCAACAGATAGCAACAACTTCAGCGCATTCGTCAGTAACATTTTGGTCTTAAAAGGGAAACAAGCATACAATCGGTGGCATTTTTGTGCAATGGCCAACGCTGTTCAAACGGTTTCAACAATATTCCCAACTTTGGCATGTTTACCGGGATGGGGCCTTATGACAATATATTTTTAAAAATTTTCCCTGATGACCTTGACTTCCCCGAGGTCGATTCAGCGGCGTGAAGTAAAACATCGGCACTGTCGCAGACAAATTCGTGTAGTAAAACATCGGCACTGTCGGAGACAAATTCGGCCTGGACGTGGCGCTGGCTTCACCACTCCATTGTGCGCCGTGCCGACCTTAATAAGTGCTCGCGAACAGCACTTGGCCAACAGCCCATTTAGGCGATACGGGTGATATTTGCGTGTATCGAATTGGTGAGTGTCTGTGTGTGTGTGCAGACTGGTGATTTGTATTCAGTGTGGCAGAGATCAATAACAGATTTAAATCTCTTGAGTACTCACTAAAGCCACTGAGATGGCTTCAATGCAGGATATAGAATAACAAAATATATAGTGCTCTACAGTAACAACAGTATATGTCGGGAAATGGTGGGTGAAGTGGGATACTTAAGGCTTGGATATTTCTCGAGGTCAGCCTAGAACACCAATTTTTTTGCAATTGCTCAGAAAACGCAAGAGGAATATTGTGCTACCTTAAGAAAATTGCTAAATAAAATAGGATTAAGTGGGCAAAAAACACCACACTGTTTTCCAAACGGTTGCAATTTCCAATTTTACCCACACAATGTTGGTAATATGGAATACGCCATTGAAGCAACATTGGATACATGTCACTGATGTTTGCAGATTACGCACAACAACACATCACCTTTTATCGAAGTTGTAGAGAGAGGGGAAAGGAAGTGACAACAAATGAAAATAAAACGAATGTTGAAGGCTTAAGGCCGTTCTAGGCTTAGTTTACAAGCGCCGCTCACAAGTGGATTGATCGTCGTCACTGTCCACGCGATCAGCACGTGCGCCGTGCCCCCCCCTCCCCCTGTAACGTCACAGACAATCCACCCTTCGGGCGCTTCTATTCGTCGAAAACAGGGCGCGGCAGGAGACACACGTGCCATGAGTGTCTCCGTCTGATTCGCTGTCGTCACCCATTGTTGTTTTTGGACTGGGCTTGTTCGTGCGTTTTTTGTTTATTGTTGCTGTACCCAAGTTGCTATGGTGTGACTAGGTCTCCGTCGAAAATAAGCAATGTATTGCCCAATGGGTTTTACCTGTGCCAAGATAAAATCTAAACCTACATCCCGTTTTACCCATTGCCATGCCGCCATATTGCAAAAAAACACGACGACAGTTTTGTGTAAGCGTAAGCCCGATTCACCTCCATAGGGCGATGTATTCACTTGTTTGTAAACCCTCGGGGGGAGGGGGGGATACTTATCAATTGTTCTCGCTATATTTAGGCACAGATAATGTTTCCAGACTCATATTTTAAAGGGTGCCACGGTGGTGAGATGTTAACTACCTCGCCTGCTATACAGGAGGTCGTGGGTTCGATCCTGACCCTGACGCCTGCTGTATATTGGGATTTTGCATTTAGAAACAACGTGCATTTAGATGATTTGGCTGATACACATTTCCACATGATAAGCCACATAATTGGGCTGTCACTTGTGGCCAGGTCGCTTCTGAAAAAGAGCTATATAGCTTAATGGGCCTTATATGGTAAAATAAAAAAATGAAAGTTGAAAAAAATTTGTTTAAATTAGTCTGCAAATTCAAACACAAACTAGTTTGCCCGTGATGTGTTTCATAAGCAGGGCGCCACGAAGGGACTTTGGGATAGCTCTTTACTTACTGCCTGCAGATGGCTGCATATTGCAGTGGAGAAAGACGCTGGTATCCTGTTTTACCCGCTTGTTGGTAACTTTCACTGTTCTGTATTGTGCACAGATTAATGCCGGTGCTCTGCCTTAGAAGATGTAAAAGACCACGCACCGTAGGCACATTCTACACTGCAGCCTACAATAGTCACATAATTTATGTGCAGGCAAACCTCACGTTTAGGTTATTACATCAATTCACGTACACATCTGTAACCTTTTTTCCCACTTTACAGTAGTGTGTTATTTGGGTAAAAATATTAAATGTAGATAAATACAGTCTTTTTTTCTTTAAAACCCAGGGAATTGTGTCCCACCCCCCCCCCCCCCCCTTGGATGTGCAACTTATAATTTTTTGGCAAAAGTCCGTTGCCATTCTGTACTTCTATGCTCCCATATGTACGGAGCTCCCCCCCGCCTACAAACAACCCACACTGACAAGAGTGGTGAAATATGGTCAAATAAGCCCCCCCCCCGCCCCGCCCACCACGACCTGACTTTCATTTGCACGCGGCTGTCACTCATCCACCCAGCAACACTCCGGGGGTGAGTCCCGGCAATAATCCACGCTAGGCCGTGGTGACTGTATGGTCAAACAATCCCCACGAATGACAATGGCGAAGGGATAGAGGCTTTCATCAAAAAGTGGATTGACATCGGGCTGAACATTATTATTACAACTGCACAGTACAGATGAAACATTTTTTTTTATATTTATATAAATAGTTGGCACTTGTATCTTAGACGTGTTGATTGAACACAGTAATTATACGGCATACGCAGTATTTTTTTGGCTATGTGTAAACATTTTTTTTCAGACGGTGCCTAGTACAGAACTGTAAAATGTACTCGTACACACACAGTACACACGTTAATAGTGGTATATATTTTTTAAAATGGCACGTGATGAGTAAATATGTTTATGTCTGTGGCTGACATCATCATCATCTCTCGCTCCTAAATTGACTCTTGTTCTGTTCCATGTGGCGGTGCCAGCTAACACGTGCCCACACACACACAGATTGGGGGTCGTGCTACGATCCCCCTTTGGGGGGCCCTAAAAACGTTGTTGGGATCTCCCGCTCCACCCTTAGCCCCATTCAATTCATTAAATTCGAGTGAGATGATCCAAGAGATATGGGACAAGAGCTTTAGTGAGGTAAAGGAAGCAGAGACTCATTTGGAGATGCATATCTGTTTTGAAGACAATATAGATCTATACTGCAGACAATATAGATATGGCAAGTTAATTAGATTTTATGTTATTAATTTGCTATGCTAATTAGAATTCGAGCTGATATTTTAATGCACCTCCTAAATATATTATTGTCGATAAATCCGGTGGGGGGGGAGGGGGAGGCTCCCTTCAGCTACTTGGGGGCCTTAGTATTCCGCTTCGCGTGCTAATACCTAGCGCCACCGCTGCACACACGCACACACACACACGATTCAGATCACACACTCTCACACACACACGATTCGGATCACACACACACCGACACACACACACAGCACTCGCATAGCGCAGCACATAGCAGAGCAGACAATGAGAGAGGGCCACGCTGCTGATGATGCGCGTAGGAGGAGGGCTTCGGTAAGAGGGAAGCGTTTGTGAGGGCTGCAGCAGCAGCGAGTAGTTTTACGCGCAGACCGAGGCAGAGATGCGCGTGGCGCGTAGGGGCTGTTTACATCTGTTGTTGTTGTGTTGTGTCTGTGCTCTCGGCACTGTGTTGTGTTGTACGTGAGCAGTTGTTGCCGCTGCTGTTGTTGTTGTTGTGGCTACTGCTGCTGCTGTTGTTGCAGTGGCTACTGCTGTTGCGGTTGCTGTTGTTGCAGTGGCTACTGCTGCTGATTTTGCTGCTGCTGCTGTTACTGCTGCTGATGATGATGATGTCTGCGTGTCTGCGTTAGCTCGCCGCCGAGCAGCGCTCATCACTGCAACGCTGCAGGAATGCGCGGAGCTGAATTTTTCATCAAGAGCCCGAGGACAAACGTCCCGTAGCAGACAAGTCTGAGCTCAGGTCGCCTCCGCTCTCCTCTATTCCGGAATCCTCATCAGCAGGCATCATCATTTAATCATTGCAGTATATTATCATCATCATCAGAGTAACGTCGTCAACAAGCAGCATCATTAAAATCACGATCATCATCATTGCGCAACGTTGTTAATAACCATCGTCATTATCGTCATGAGATGTTTTATTGTCATCATCAACAAGCGCCGTCATTGATCACCGCTATCAGCGTCTTAATCATCAAGCAGCGTCGTCATTAACCATCATCAGCTGCATCGTAATAATCATCGTTACAATATCGATTATCATCACGCAACCATTACCACCATCATCGTTAAAATATCCTAATTGACCCAGTCAATAACAGCCATCGTCAGCAGTAGTAGCCATCACAGCGACCACTCTCTGATCTGCAGGGGTATAAATCATCACCACAGTTACGATCATCAGTCGGAGCATCAGCGGTACCACTAACACAAAATCGTCAACACATTCGCCCTTACCACGAATAGCTCGTAGAATCCACCCACAACAGTCTGCAGCTACTAACAGAGCCCAACACAACGGCTGAGCTGGGGCTGCACACAAACAATCATCTTTGGCTGTGCAACGACAAAGAAGCAGCAGCATCTTAAGGAGCAGCAGCAGCATCGGCTCCATCAACAACATCAGCAGCATCAACACCGGCTCCATCAACAACATCAGCAGCATCAACACCGGCTCCATCAACAGCATCAGCAGCATCAACACCGGCTCCATCAACAACATCAGCAGCATCAACACCGGCTCTATCAACATCAGCAGCATCAACATCGGCTCCTTCAACAACATCACAGCATCAACGCCGGCTCCATCAACAACATCACAGCAGCATCAACATCGGCTCCATCAACAACATCAACAGCATCGCCACAACCATGATCGAGACCATCACACACAAGTTGCGAGCCTGCTCTCTGAATGAGGTTCGCCCGTTTGTGTTGAAGGTACATTGTAATTGTGAGCGGGGGGGAGGGCAGTAATACGTGCAATGGATTAATACGTAATGTAACGCTCGTTTGCTTCAACATATCTCTTCGATTTCACATGATATGTGTTATCTTGATTTTGAAGCTTTCGTGACTGCAGGGATAATGACGGACGCTTGTGTTGCGCCCGAAACGTCGTGATTTGTTTTTATTGTATACCTACGTGACTTTACCGAAATAACCACAGAGTATGGATATGTGTAATGTTAGAATGTCCAGCCTCTTGGCGTCACGTTGCCCGGATGAAGGCGGCTTCCTTGGGAACGTTTTCGTCGCGGGGAGCGCTTTTAGCCATACTTGACCACGATGGTCACCGCACATGGGTCGGGTGATGCTGTGGGCCTGGTGGCTGAGTCCTTGTCAGGCACCACGTGCCACCCAGATGTGTCTCCACCCAACCACTCAAGAGTGCCAATGTTGTCAAGATTAAAGATCACGTTCGTCGTTCGTGTGCGCGTTTCGGCTTCGTAGGTGAGCGCTCCCTCTGTCGGCGCAGATCGCAGTAACGCAATGTTTACCCCGAATATGCCTGACAATTAATAACGCAATCGTTAGCGCTACACACTTTGCGTGCAGACCGCATTACGTCGTGATAGACGTTTGCAATGCTGTTGTTGGGGCTCATGTGTTTTGTTTTGCCGCTGCTATAATGTAACGTAATAATTGGCATAAATTATGACAGTATTAGTACACCTGTTATCATTTGCAGTTGTGAAACGTTGCGCAGCGTTGAAACGAATGTCCATTTAATCGGCATTACTGCAGTTACCCCCCTTACCATAGCTCCCTATTTTGTTTTAACATTACAGTGCAGTCCTGCGGTGGGTTATATCACTCATCTGTCGCGATCAGTGTTAAAATGCACGACGGAAATTTTTTTTTGCCATCACCATCCCCCAGCACTGATGTCATCAGCAGAAAAGGAAACATCAGCTGTTTGATCGTAGTTCCAATTATGATGGTAGTCATGATGTCATTTCGTCAGCTGTGGGAATATCTTACGTAACGTAAGCAATCAAAGTGTGCATATTATCACCGTTAACATTGCATTGCATGTCATCGCCACCGCCAATCATCATCATCATCATTTAATCACCTCGTAATTATCTGTAATCATCTCATTCACACGGGCACATTTCATAACATTGTCAATGCCACGCAAGCTCAGGGTTTAGGCTGGATTGTTTCCGTTCGGTCACGACGTCTGTTTACAATATCTGAGTGTGCGTGTGTGGTTTATTTTTTATTTTTTTGGAGCGATGGCACAAAATGTTTACGATATAGGGCCCTGATGTATAACAATGGCTTGCATGTAATTTGGCATTAGGTTATATAGGAACACAATTGTATTTATTGTCGTATGTCTACACAATGGCTGTGATGGTCACATGCTCCGGCAGGGCTGAATGAGAGAGAGAGAGGCTTGTATAACCATTCTGTGAAGTGTTGACGTGGTATTGATATGCAGGCATCTTTTTTTATTAACATAGATGCCTGCAAAACTATAGGATCTACACCAGTTTCACAGTAAACACAATGCCCCCCCCTACCCCCGCAGTGCTCTCTCCCACACAAACAAAAAAACATTTCCCCTTTTCTCATTCCAGTCATTGATGCTGTGACATCATCACCTCAGTGCACAGTGAAAGCTGAACCGCAGAGCGCGCGCTCCATATTGATCAGACTCCCTTCCTTCGGGTAATCCGGCCATGGTTGACGGCTGGGTCTCTCGGAATGTTGCGAGTTCACATCCTGATGGGGGGGGAGGACGGGGTGAGGGGGAATGATTCAGACCATCATCCCCTGCAGGGTCCATAAAATAAGTGGCACTTTCAGGGTGGGTGGGTGAAGGCAAAAGTGGCTGTCTTGTGGATAGACTTAGCCCCCCTCCCCGTATGAATGTGGAATTTCCACCACTGGCTCAGGGTTATAAACAGGATATGAGCACCGAAGCCTTAATGCTCGTCTGAGCAGGAAATCACTCTTTGGTGAGATACTGTTGTAGCTCCAGTCGTGTGTCGTAGTTAATCGTGTAACATGGTTCATCACGATCAGCCATGATCAACCCACTGCTGCATGAAGGCCAGTGGCTTTGCTGGCCATTTTGTGGGTCACCCAGACCCCCATCCCTTTCCACGAATGACGTTCCTCGTGAGATGACTGACGCGGTGTCGACAAGAGATAGAAACGTAACGAGATGAGATTGCAGATCTGCAGATGAGACACAGATGCAGCGAAATGAGAGATTGCGTTGACAAGAGGCAACAATGCCTTTAGATGAGAGACAAGATGGAGATGAGATCGTTTAGGGCTATTTAAGTTAATTGGTTTATTTATGTTTATTATGATTTTAATTGGAGCTGATATTTTGTTCAGCTGTATATATTTTTTTGTTTATGTACCCGGGACCCCTTGATCCCTTTGAGGCTTAGTTCATAATCAGAATATTTATTTATTCTGGAGGAATCCGATGATCTGCAAAGCTTTTTTTCACAGTTGCTTTGCTTATGCCTCACGCCACCCGTTATGAAACCCCTCCCCAAGCCGTCCACCGCCTCTCACGATCCCGCAATGCAACAATCCACCCGGCAGAGGTCACTTAACTCGCTCCATCTCCTCGGTGCACGCCCTCTTGGAAGCGGTCAATCCCCTTGGCTGCCACGACATCATCATTCCTGGGCATGAGCCACCATCCTATTTATTCACGACGTGACTGTCCAAGCCCACACTCATCGTTAATCCTCGAATATTATTTGAAGTCATCACATTTTTTTCGTGACTGTCACTGGGAAATGTCCATTGTTTATTCACCTCGCCCCTCATCTACGGCGTTGACCACAAACTCCGAGCGTGTGTGCTTTTCTCTCTTAAGACAAGAAGAAGAATACAAAAAAACAAATTAGCGTCGCATTTTATTCGTCCAATTAATTATATTTACTTCGTTTTTTGTATACAAGTGACATTCCTCGCTTGTGCAGCATCTCATTCACAGCTTGTTGCTGGCGCCGAGCACACTTGGACATCTGTGAAACAAGAGCTTTATAGCTGACCCCGCTCACACTTGGACGTCTGTGAAACAAGAGCTTCATAGCTCATCGGATTCCTTCTGCAGTTTAAATCATCATTCTGATTCAATTACGGATTGGAATGACCGCGTGTGCGTTGAAGACGTGCGTGGTGGAGCTGTAATGCTGGCACTGTGAACCCTGAGACCCAGTGACCCGAGTTCGATTCCTGGCTGACATAATTAGTGAGTGATATTTGAATCGGTCCTGGGCATCTCCCTGCACCAATCCGCTCTGACCAACGTGGTGAAAGTATGGTCGAACTATCCCCATGGTCGACAGATCATGGGTGAGGCCTTCATCCAGCAGTGGATTGACAAAGGGCCGTAGGTTAACATTGCTGAAGATGAATGCGTGAAGTCGTCGGTGTCTTGGGAATTCCGCTCGTTTGGATGCTCTACAAACCTCAGATTGCGTTTAATTCCAAGATGCAGCACACATATTTGCTCCGCGTGCAGTATATTTCAGCTTTAAAGGAGGGGGGAGGGGGTGATAAAAGTGTTTTCCATGACAGTACGGCACGGTGGTCATCACAGATAGCTGATTTTCCGTGTGACATTCTGAGGATGACTTGAACGCCGAACGTGAAGCGGTGTATGACCCGCGCGTGCCGGCACGGCTCGATTGTGTCAGAGGGGGGTGCGGCTGGACACCCGTGGATATAAAAGTGATTGTTCTTCAGACGTGATGGTTACATTCCCTCGCCTGACGACAAGGTAGCAGTCTCGCTTTTAAATGTGTGAATTTGCGTTGTGATTTATTTCCAGGGGGCTTCACGGCGAGCCTGTTTAACACTGCACTAGTTTTACCCACTCCCTGCTATTATAGTCATCATTATTAGTACCAGCCGTGGTCAATCCACTGCTGGATGAAGGCCCCTCCAAGCATCTGTCATTTCTCACAATTCCGCGATCCATAATATCGTTTTTTTTTTGTTAGATCGCGTAAATATCTGTCGTCAAACCCGCCACCACCCGACACAGCCAATAAGTGAGGTTTGTCACGTACTGTAAACAGAAAACACGCCATTTGGTTACTAGTACAGCACACTGGTGTGTTGGAGAGCAAATACACGATTATAAATGTACAACATTCCGCTCTGTAAATATTTACTCTAGAGCCAGCGTACGAGCCGATTTCGTCGTGCTCTGGGATGCGTCCTTCCTGCTATTACCTGTAGGGATTTACAAATATGTGTGTGCCATCTTCATTCTCAAGAGCAAGCCACTGGGAGGGGACTGGTGGCTGAGGGGGAGGTGATGACCGCATCATAACACTGATCGTTAACAATGCTGAGATCCTGGGTTCAAAACATCTGCATCCACCCTTTGATTAAACGTAATTCTCACGTGTAGCCGCGTTAATGGTCTCAAGCGGAGCGCCGGCGAGTGTCATGATAATGTAAAACAAAAAATAAAATCTACGCCTAATTTCCCCCCCCCCCTCGCTCAGCACTGAGGGCCAGAACTTGTCAACATTTCCTGACTGTTGACAAACCCCGTGGGTCGCTTCTTGTCGAGCTTGGGGCAGGAGGACCCTGCGTTGTCGGGCGATAGAAGGACAGGAGTTGTAGTTTTGATAGAAGGACAGGAGTTGTAGTTTTGATAGAAGGACAGGAGTTGTAGTTTTGATAGAAGGACAGGAGTTGTAGTTTTGATTGAAGGACAGGAGTTGTAGTTTTGAAATTATATCTTTTTTGGGGGGGGGGGCGCGGGGGGCATTCCCTGGACACGATGTGATGCTCTTCTCTGCTGGCCGTGAGCGTTCCCGAAGGATGACGTTTTATGGTCCCTGTCACCACTCCAGTGAATGGGATATACTGTGCTATAATTAGTGGTTAAATGATCTGCAGCTAAATTAATCAAATGCCAAGTTGTGCAGTACATCATCAAG